CCCACTTTATTGAAGTTTTAAATTCTGTGACTGGAGCTCATCTTTCTGTTTCATCCTATTCCTATTAATCAGTTTCCATTTCCTGTATTTATCAGACAAGCAGGAGTCAGTACAAGTTTAGAGCAAGGAAATGACACAATTAAAATGGTATCAGACATGAAATCCAAAAGTCAAAGCCACATCTTTTCCCCCCTCCCTCAAATCATTCCAGTGCTCTGGTTTTTACATCTCACACCCCCTCTGTGTGCATAGGCTCAGGCAGGATGTGCTACTCACCTTTCTCCTAACCTGCTCTGGCTTTGCTGTCCCCTGCCTGGTCTGTGCTGTCTCCTTTGCCTAGAAGCACTTTTTTCCATATGAAATCCACATAAGTTTTCTTCTCTTACAGATTCATTGGTAGATACATCCCTTTCACTGAATGCATTTTATCATTTTTGACAGTGTGTTTTATTTACATTATCACATTACAGTATTACGCTAAGTGGTACTCCTTCTGTGTAGACATATATTTTATCTCCATCTTCCACCCACCTAGACACATCATGTGAATACAGTAGATGGCTAGTAAACTTGCCTTTGTGTTTAATATTCCTCATGTTCGGAATTCTGGCTCCCACAATAGAGACTTATCAGCAGTCTTTAGTGCAGCAAGGTTTGTATACATTTGACACAGCAATTCTAACACTTACCCCTACCCAACATGGCTCAAAAATGTTTTATTTTATTATCTAATATTATGTTATGCTATGTTTTATTATAGTGTAGTATATCATACCATACCACTGTATTATGATGTTACATTATACTATATGATTGTGTTATGGAGGAATTTAAAGTCAAGGTATGAGCTAACTGAAAGGACAGTGAAAGTCAGATGAAAAGAAAAATAAGGAACAAGAAGAGAACTGAGTTCCCAGCAATATCCAGGAGTACAGAAGATAGAGCACTGTTTTTTTATTTTTTCTGTGATGAGCAGATAAGCTATAAAGAAAACTCCTTGTTTTAAATTTTCCATGAAGGAAAAGTGAATCTACTTTGGATCTTCCAGTGATTAGAAAAGTGAACAAGATACAAAAAACTGAGATAGGGCAATCTAAAGAGCAAACACACACACACACACACACACACACACACACACAAAATCCTTTTCCTGACTTATATCCTATACAAACTCTTAAAAATTGAGAGCAGGGAAGATAGTGAACATTTTCATGCAGAAATTAATCCAATATTCCAAATATATTTAGATTATTCTTATAATTAGAGGAGAGATCTTTTAATAATTTAAACCCAAAACAGTGCACGGGGATAAATTTCCAATTGAATTTTGATTAACTGAAGCACTAATGTGTTATTTATGCTTCTTATATTGAATATTTATTTGAGAACATAGAGCAAAATCTAATAAATGAAGTCAAGATGTATCAGAGGCAAAAAAAAAAAAAAAACAGGAATAGGAGACACAATTTTTATTACCATAGTACTTTAATAGTAAAGTTGACAGTGAGCTTCTTGGCAACCAGTATACAAAAGGAAATACTGGTTCACATAGTTCTCCTACAGAGTCAGACAATAAACATAAAATAGTACATTTTATAACATGATGGAAGGTGATAGTTCTATTAATAAAAAGTAAAGCAAGATTTCTGGTATGGATAATGCATTTTTAATTTTGAATAGAGCATGGTAAGTATAGGCCTGAATAACATGGTGACATTTGAGCTATGTCTTAAAGGAAGTGAGGGCATGTGTTTTGCGGACACCAGACAGAGGAGAATTCCAGGCAAACAGGACAGCCAGCACAAAGGCCGTGAGATAGCAACATATCTGTCTTAGAATGCTGAGGAGGCCATTGTGGCAGGATCTAAGTAAGTAAAGAGAAGGAAGCAGGAGCCGAGGTCAGAGAATAACAGATCATGCATTGTCCTTCTTGGTCATTCTATGAAGGTAGACTTTTGTTCTAATTGAGATGGGGCCTCTGCTGAGTTTGAAACAGGGGAGTGATAGGAGCCGCCTTCCTGTTGAAGAGGGATCTCTACTGTGTGGAGAACAGCCCCCATGGGAGCATAAGTAAGAACAAAGAAGGACAATGGAAGTTTAGAAGTGGTGGTAGATTAAATTGGGTGTAATCACAGAGGATGTGGTAAGAAGCTGTAGCTTGAATTTATTTTTTCCTGATGGATTGGATTTGAAATGTGAGAAAGACACAAAAGTCAAGGATGACACCAAGTTTTTAGGCCTGATGTGAGGAAGACTTTTGTTGGGACAGGGTGGCTGAGGATGGACTTGCTGTATGTCAGTGTTGGCAATGATAAGTGGAAGAAGCCCAGAAGGCATCCAAGTGCACAGCTGCCTGGAGCCTGAAGTTCAGGGGAATGGCCCAGGTGGGTGGTAAAATTGGGGAGTTGTCACCACATAAAAGCTATTTAGTACCATGAGACAGGATGAGATCACCATGGAAGTGAGTTTAGATAGACAAGAGGTCCAAAGTCTGAACTCGGGGTACTCCACTGCTCAGAAGCAGGGAGGAGAGAGGAGGCAGCAGAGGAGAGTGAGACGTTTGGAGTAGAAGAAAACCATGAAAATGGGGTGTCCTGGAAGACAAATAAAATCGTTCTCAGAAGGAGAAAGACATCAACTGTTAATTGTTGCTGATAGTTCAAGAGAGATGAGGACAGAGAAACCTGATCTAGCAGTTTCACCTCCACAAGAAGACTTGTAGGGATGCAGTAGAAGCAAAAGCCTGACTGGAGTAGATGGGAAGCGTGGATGAGGAGACAGCTTTTCTTCACAAATCTTTGAAGAACTCTTGCTGTACATATGCATAAAAAAAAATTTTTTAAAGGAAAAAAAAGGCAAGTGGCTTGAATGAGGAGTGGGGTCAAGTGAGATTTTTGTCTTTAAGATGGGAGAAATACAACATAATTTCACGTTGATGGGAATGATAAAAAAAAAATGAGGGGTAATTGATAATATGTGAGAGAAGAACTCCAGGCACATGTAACTGCTAGATAGATCCCTGTATGTTGCTGTGGGATAGAGAATCAGGAGGGGCAGGGGTGCAGGCTAAGTGTGTGTGTCCTATAAAGCACCAAGCAGTCCTTGAAATTACGTCAGACTTTTACTTGCAAAAATGACAAGTGCATTTAATGAGCCATTTTTTTAAGTGATGTCACATATTTCGATACATTATCCAGCAGTTTATTAACCGCCATGCCAAATCAGTGTTATTATAGATGAAAAAATTGTTGCTACAACAACTTCTCCGAAGTCATGTTGATCAACAAGTTAAACAGTTGGCACTTCTTTGTGATCGTTCTTGCTGTTGTGAGTTCAAGGGCTGATGGCTTTGCCACCCCACAAGCTCTTAGCAGGGGACTTCGCAGAGGTTGGCATCCCCAAGTGCTGAAAAGACTGTGGGCCGCCCCTGGTCGATTTCACTGCCTCCAGCTGGAAGACCCCGGCGTTGTTTTCACTGGTTGCAGCAACTCAACAAATAAAAATTGTAAGATACAGAAACTTTCCAGAGAAATGTCTGGAAGGAAACCAGTGTAAGTTAGTTTAAAGCCCTCAGCCCTTAGCTAAGGCCATTCCCCAACAACTTTGAAAAGTTCTCTTCTGACGCATCTGTACCTGCCCGGGGGCAGGTTGTCGGGAGGAGGTGCAGTCACCTGGACTTTCCCAGTGCAAACTTCAACGTCGGGTGAGGAAATCATCACCCCAGGACTTGTAACCTCCCCCCTTCTTCTAACTCAGAAAAAAAACCTGCCACAAAAGTCTCTACTCCTCGGTTGTAAACGCGCGGCGATAGGGCGCAGCGCCCGGCCCCTCCAGCGGCAGGAAAAGCCCCAGCTGCAAGCTGCTGGGCAGCTGGGCGGGTCACCGCCTTCAGCGCTCCAGGTCCTCGGTGCCCGCCGCGGTGGGCCAGGGGCACGGGGCCGAGCTGGGTGGAGCCACCGCCGCGGCCCGAGGGGTAGAGCGAGGCGCGGCGCAGCACTCGGAGCGCGCCTTTGCTCCCGCTCTGCGGGGACCCGGCCGCGCGGCGGCGCCAGGTGAGGAGCGGGCGGTGTTGGGTGGGGAGGCGGGGGCTGTGCGGGCTCCGCGGGTCCCGGCCGCTCCCCTGGAGCGCTGCCTCCCCTGCCGCCGAGTTGGTCGCCGCCGGCCGCGCGGCTGAGGGGTGGGGGCGGCGAGGAGGCCGTGGCCGCCCGGGCCGAGGAGGGGCGCGCCGAGCGCGCGCGGCGAGTCCGGAGTGGCCGGGTGCCTGCGGCTGGAGCTGCGGCGGGGCCGGGGCCCGGGCCGGAGGGAGGGAGGGAGGGGGGTCTGGACGAGGTTGGGGGCGGCGGGACCGTGGAGAGCGGCGGCTCGGAGGAAAGATGAGAAGGTGAGTGGGCGCCGGGCACGCAGAGTTGCTTTACTTCTCTTGGAGGCTGCAGGGACAAAAGCCCGGGCTGGGGTGAGAGGAGCCCGGGCAGCACAGCTTTGGGGGGCCCTGAATCTCGAGGGCTGGGTGGACTTCTGGCTGAGAGGGACCTGGAGAGGGAGTGTCGGGGTAGAGGAAAAGCTCACAGATCGATTGTAGGGAGCTGGGGACTTTGGGGGGGACCAGAGACCACTTTTGCGAGGACTCTGGAATACCCAAGAAAAGAGGGATCAGTGTCGTCGGAATAAAGCTGCTAGGTCGCGGTGGACAGAGGAAAGACAAGTCCGCTGCTGCGTGGTGTGGGACCCTGAATTCACAGAAGAGCCTCCCTGCCCCCCAATCTCTGGTTCTCTGCCCTTCTGATTCTACTTTGTTCTAGAGTGGGGCTCGCGAGTTTGAACCATCCAGAGCCCCAAGAATTGGATTTGGCCGTGGATCCCACAAAAGTTTGTGTGGCAGTCTTTGCGCCCCTAGAGATAGTAGAAGCGTTAGGAAAAGTCTTGAACCCCTGTTTCGTCCGCACCGGGATCTGCGGAGGCGCTGCTGAAATGTTTGCTGGTACGTTTATTAATAATAACAGCCCTAGCGGTCATCACTGATTAACGTGCCGAGGACCTGGGAACTCTCGCCACCGTCAGGAAGTTAACAGGCTGACAGGCTGTCCCTTCCACGGTTGGGGTTTCCTGTTTGAAAAGAGTTTGGGAAGTCAAACCTGCTTCCAGCCCCTACCCAGCTTGCTTTCTTATGTAAAGAAGGAACCCCGCTTTGAAAAGTAGACTTTGGAAAGTAGACTTGCCCGGGGCTGGAAATTCTCTTGGCTTGCCCTGCCCGCTTCCCTAGAAGTCTTCCTTCTGCAGCTCAGAAGGATCTTTCTGAGTGCTAGATGCACAGCTAGTCGCAGCCAGAGGCAGCAGGGAGTGAAACTAGGGGGAGAAGCAAACAGATGTGGAATCCTTGCAGTGTAAGTATTTGTCAGACCTGTTTACCTTCATTATAATAACGTGTACGTTGCAGGTATTTATTTTTCAGGTTTGGACGTCTAACTTTAAGCTTCCTCGTTTGGTTTAATTTAGGTGAGATAATGTCTCTGAGAGTCTAACATTTATCTGAATTCTGTCGGGGAAGGTCTAAATGAAGTTCACAGTTTCAGTGTTAAACTTTTGCCCTGAGAGCACTTGAATTCTTGGTTCTTGGTAGGCTAGCAACGGAGCAGCTGGATTTGGGATAAATAAACCTTCAGAGTTGTCTACTTATTTTAACAGAATGGCTATATCCCTGGTACCATTGCCCTCAATTGTGCAAATATTTGTTTGAATAAAGAGTTAAGGTTCTTTGAAAAGTAACAGTTGTGGCTATTCATGGTTCCCTTTTCAAATCCTGGTTTTAGTTACCTAAAAGGGTTTTTGGTTGAATTTTTTTTTGCCCTACATATATTTAATATGGAAATTTAAACACTACATGTACTTAATTCCCCCAAATGCATATAACTGCTGTTTCCTTTAAAAGAAAGGGGGAGTTGAGTTTTTGCCCCTAGATGACCTTCACCTCCGGAGTCCCAGAGATTTGCAAATCGCAGCCTTTCTCACAAATGGAAAAATGAGATGTTTGGTTAAGAATAGTCATCATTTCAATTTGCAGACTTCTGTCTGTTTCATGCAGCTTGAAGCTGCTGTTCATTTGGGTTGAAGACCAACTTACATATAGAGGGTATCTTTTGGATCCCTGTTTGAAGTAAAAGACACTTGGGAAATTGGGCTAAGAGTTTGCTAACTCCTGTCTTAAAGAACCCAGACACAGGATACATCGAACTCTTTGGCAACTTTTTCTGAAACATATTGTTTACTGATTTTTGCACAGGAAAGAGAAGAAAAACTGAAGTGATTAAATCAAACACTGCTTTTTCAGTATTTTTTTCTAAGCTCTATTTTGAGGTATAAAAGCAAGGATTGACTTGAGTATACTGGAAAAGTTCCTGTGAAAAATGTGACTCTTTTTAAACACTAAAAATCCCCTTGAGGTTGTGACTTTGTATGCTAATTCCCAGCCCTTCTTGGGGAAGGTATGCTATGAATGACTTGGATAGAGAATGGTTTTATACAGCTCCCAAGTGGAATCCATGTGTTTTATAAAATCTGACTATGAATGTCACCCCTTTGAAACAAAAACAGCTTTTGAATATGTGCTTTATTTTAAAGCTCTGCTTGTACATTACAGCAGTGGTTCTCAGTGGAGTGGGGGTGGCATTTTGCACCCGCCCATCCACCCCTACCGAAGGAATATTGGCCCAGGTCTGGAAGTATTTTTTGGTTGTCCCAACTGGGGGCTAGGGAATAGTCCCAATGACCAGCTGGGTCTGGCAGATAGTGGGCAGAGGCCCTGAAGACTGTGTAATATTCTGCAATGTACCGGGCACACAACAAAGAATTATTCAGCCCCAAACTCTTTACTAGAATACTACCTCATGGGCATATGTTAACAAGATTAGGGATCTTAATCTAATTTGGATCCTCAAGAAACCAACTGTATTCTTTCTCAACACAAAGGAACCATGTCATAGAAGCCTTTTTGTCTGCAGCACATTCTTTTGCCCTTGGCATTAAGGGTCTTAATATACCATAGAAGTGAAGAAACTTCTGTTCATTGATGACTTTGAGTTGGCTTACGATCACAGAATTTTGGAGTGTTTTGAGCACAAGGGAGCCTCAGAGATCACTGAGTTGAACCTTTTCATTTAATAGATATAAAAATTGAAGTATGTAATGACTGTAAAGTTAAGTGAGTTAGTGGCAGACAAAGTTCTAGGTACAATCCAGTATTAGAGAATGTAGAAGCTGCTATTCAGGCAAATGTAGTTTTTAAAAAACTGGACTTCACCCTTTGTAAGAGTTTAGAGGGACAAATCTCCATGAGGAAATAAACTCTTTGACGGGGGAAGGGTGGCCTTAGCCATGGTTACAGGAGCATATGCCTGGGTGTGTCTGCCTCAAGAAGGAGATAATTCCTTTGTGTGACCTGTGACACTCCACTTCTGGGGCCTGTACCATCCTTCCCTTGGCAGAGTAGGCAACAGATGGTTCCATAGACATAGCAGATGTTGCTTTTGAATCCAGGTACAAAACAGAACATTTGAGATTTTCTATCCCCCCCTGCCTTCTGTGTTGAGTAGAGTGCATGAATGGATAAGGTTGTCATGAACAAAAGGGAGAATGAGAGGTCTCCTGAGCATGGAGTTTAAAAGACACCTGGCATGCAAGAAAATGAGTATGCATCTGGGGCAATTGTGGGGGAAACTCAAACTGAGGAGTGGCTAAGATAAATTTGATTGTATAGAACTTGGGTTAGGAATCTGAAGAAAACTCAGGATTGACTGTTTCTTCAAGGGAGTAGAACAGAATTGTTCTTGGGGTAAAAAGAACCTCAGAAATCCTCTTGTCTGAATCCTCACCTATAATTCACTTGGCTACATGGTGCCTGACCTGCACGCGCCATCTCTTTGTTTCTACCACACTTCCCCTGACACTGTACTGGCACTGCCATTCCATCTGTTTACCTAATGGGGAAGAAATGATATAAAGTTATTGTCAGTTTCCTAGGAGAGTTTTAAAAGCAGGAAATTTATGAAGGGCTTTATTTATTTAAAGGACTGATTTCAATGAGTTTTTGATTATCACAGAGTTGTGATACTCTGATGAATTACAAACATACATATTCACATGTTTACATCTCACCCACTAGCCCCAATGATTATGGATTCTAGTTCTGTGGGCCAAGTGATTCTGACACAGAAGTTAAAAATCCTCAAATATGGAGCTTCTGGTAGTATGGGAGAGTTTTATTATGACCTTGGGAAAGGTCAGCTCTCTGAACTGAACTGAGGTAGGTTCTTATCTTGGACTGCCAGCCAAATGGGTGCACCTCAAGCCAATGCATAGTAGTATATTTAGAAATGATTTATTTGAAAGTGCTGATTTTTTAAAGGGGCCTGCACCCTGCGTTGCTGCAATCATTAGGTGTAGCAGCCTTTTCATTATACCTTTCATCTAGTTATTCTTGAGACATTTTTCCAGATTGGAGAGAAGTCGTGAGTTGATTTTTTGTTTGTTTGGTTTTTGTTTTTTTAACTGTTGACTGGAAGTATTTATTGGTATTGATTATTGTGTTGCTTGTGTTTTGAAAGTGAATAAAATGGGGCCTCCCCGGTGGCGCAGTGGTTGAGCGCTGGGTTGCGAAGCTGCCCGCGGCCTCCGCGGCGCCCATTCAATCCCTGGCTGTTTCCAGGCCACAGGAGGAGGGTCCCACATGGCGCGCAGACCTCTCCTGCCGCCCGCTGCTCCCCTCAGCAGTGTCCTTCTGCCTGCTCTGCTCCCCGCTTTGGCTCTGGTGAATTCTCTCACCCTCCCGCGCTTCTGACTGTACCCAGTGCATGTATAAACAAAAAAAACAAACAGAAAAAAAAATAAATAAATAAATAAATAAAACATGCCTCTATTAAAAAAAAAAAGTAAATAAAATGAAAAAGGGCCGCACAGTTACAAATCCCTTTAAAATAAACATTTAGTAAGGCAGAACTTGTTTCTGTTTGAATTTTCTGGAAGCTAATTTGCACATAGTTGTTTTCATGATATTTAAGGATGCTTCCTACAAGTGGGGAAGAAACTTCGTGCTGTATCTGCTTTAAAGGCAAAATTGTTACCTGTGACAGCTAGTGGTTGATAAGAGAAACCCAGTATAAAGATCACTTTATTGAAGTGAGTGGGAAAGCTAGGGGCTGGAGAAGCTTCCTATACAACAAAACATAAATAAGATATAGAGTAACAGGCTAAATTATATGAAAAAGTCTTTGAGAAGTTTTAAAAAGAAATTAGTGTGTGTTGGTTGATTTAGTAGATGAACTGATTTTCCTTATATTGCAAATTAAAGGTAAGAAAAAGTTTATACATACTAATATTTAATATTGTTACCTTAAGCATGGTCAACCTTGTCTATGACTGCTGCTAAATCTGAAGTTCAGTGGATGCTATGTAATCACCTTAGAATATTTTGTTTGTACATTGTGGGTGACTTCTCCAGATGGCAATATGCTTGTATAATTATCATATGAAATAGTAGAAAAGCCTGCTGCTAAAGGATTTTTTCTAGACTTATGTCTTGACTACTGTACTGCAAAAACAAGGGCAGGTAAAAGTGGAGGGAAGCCAGCTCCTGCATTCTTTCAATCAGTTCAGACTCAGATGGAATAGTGCTTCGTAGCCAAGAGATACACAGAGAGGACTGAGAAGTGATGTCTGTCTGCCACACTGCTTATGTCACTGCAGAATTAGAATTTCACAGTGTAAGATTTACTCAGGAAATGGCAAGCCATGGAAATCCAGGCAGAATATTGTTTATACATCACATTAAATCAAATACCCATTCTGTGTTGCATCAAGGTTAACTGATTAGCCCTTTTCCCCACTGTTATGTTGAAACAATTTACCATGCCCTTGGAATGTCACCGGCAACAGTGCCGGTGAAATCTTTTCCCAATTAGGTAGCTGCCACCTTATCTCTAAAACATGTTTCTGTTCTGTGGTCATTTCCATTTCCTGCATTGTATAACTGGCACTCCTGTGTTATTTAACCAGTATCTATGAGAGCCTAGAAAGTTGGAACAGCAAGAACTTCTAGTTCACCATCCCCTTTTTAAATAGGGGGAAACCTTGGCTAAAATAAGGTGAAGACCAGCAAGGTTGACTTGCTCCGGCTCTCACTTCTGTTGGTTATTTTGGCAGAACCAGCACTGGTTCTGGTCTCCTGACTCATGTTCCTGGCATCCTGTCCAGTGTTCTTCATACCAGATTGGCCCTTACGATAAAAATAACATCCTAATGTAACCATTTCCTTTATTAGGTGGTCTTTTGGCCAGATACAGAAAACAACAGTGATTACATTTAATTTAGTCAGTTTATTGGCCTCTACTGG